AACTAACTAACTAACTAACTAACTAACTAACTAACTAACTAACTAACTAAATCTCGCAAGTGCTTGTCCTAGGGTTCCAATTGTCACAGTTCAGGATTAGCAAAAGGGCCTCATATGAACATCTCATGTCAGCACAGAAAATGTTCAAAAGATGTGCACTTAAGGGTCAAGGGTTAACAAATCAGTAATTTTTACAGTAGCATGAAGGATGAAGGTGAATGTAAAGTATGATAGGGAATCTGGGCCATTATCAATATTATAAGTGTGTTCTCATTATCTTTTAATTATCAAAAAGTAATAGTTTTTATTGTTCCATTAAAAATATGCTTAAGGAGATGAGAAGTCTTTTACTTAGCTCTTTGCAAAAATCCAATGATAATAAATTTGGTGTCACTGTCATATATTTTTTTTTTGCAAGCTCTTTACTTTCATTCTATGTTGAAAGTTAAATATGAATCAAAGTTATATTATGTCCTAAGCAGTGGCTATGACCCCTTGGGAGGGCATCAAATGACCCTTTCACAGGGGTCACCTAACACCATCAGAAAACAGAGATACTTACATTATGATCCTTAACAGTAGCAAAACTGCAGTTATAAAGTAGCAACGGAAATGATTTTATGGTTGGAGGATCTCTATTAAAGGGTCACAACATGAAGAAGGTTGAGAACCACAGCTCTAAACAATCGTTCTCAGTTCAGAGCAGAATGCTGACAGATTTACTGTGACAGAAACATTTCACAAATAGTGTATCTGAGATGAAATCTCAGCAAGGAAACAGGAAAAAAACTTTACTCCCTCTGAAATACATCTCATAGGAAAACACTACACGGTAATATGTACCCCTAACCTACAACAATCCATTTCATACGTAAACACAACTCACAGCTTCTGCTGCTCAGCCTGTGCAGGCTTCCCTCAGCTGCTCCCTGCCATCACGCTCATTGTTTCAAGCCATGCAGGACACTCACGGATCGATCACGGCTTGTGTACCATTAGTACAAATACAATTTGCACATTGATAATATGACCTTTGATGGGACAGAATCCATTGAAAGGGTCTGGAGGGCACCCGGCACTCTTTAGACCATACTTTGAGAGCAACTGTTTTATCCAACCCTGAAGATGCTCTTAAAGCAGTCATACTTTCCTAGTTTAATACAGAGATTTTCCTTTTTTTTTTTTTTTTTTTAAGATTTATGGTTAAGTTACTGGATGGTTTGGAGAGACCACGGGAATGCTGGGAATCAAACCTGGGTCCTCTGCAAAAGCAACAACTGCTCATAGCTACTGAGTCAACTCTCCAACCCCACAGATTCTCTTTCAGAAAACCTTATTGAACATACGTGTACAGTCACGGAGTTAAACAAAGTAAGCTACTCACCTTGAACTTGTTCATTTTCCGCTGTGTTTTTAGAAGGGGCTTCTACCCTTTCGAAGTCATATGCCACAGTTTCAGGTCTCCTGTGAGAAATTTCCATACAACATTTTAGTACTGTATACTGAGAAGCTGCCCTTTTGACCCATGATGAAGTAATACCAGCCTATCTATGGATACTTCTCACATAACCTTGATGAGCATGAGACACTTTTTTCTTTTACTAAATCTAAACACTTCCACTGTCTGTTTGAAAAGTTTGTGTCTGCTTACAGACTAACACAAAAGAAATGAACCCTTAAACACAGAATAATAGATCAGTTTCAAAGGGGTGGGTCTATAACATATGTAAGCAGGAAACCTTAAGTGTTTATGTTGGAGATAACACTGTTTTTCTGTTAATATTACAACCCCAAAAGTTAGGAAGTCATTTCAAAGCTTTCAAACAGGAGACATTTCTTCTCCCTAAATTACATTTTCTCAAAGCAAAAAAGGAAAAGGAAACACTTCTCCAGGAACTTTACATTTGATACATTTCTCGATTACATATGATACATTTTGTTTTTGTTTCTGTTGCTGCGGCTGCTACTAGCATAAAAACTTAGTTTCTATACCGTTATCTTTAAAATGAAAGGAATTGGATAACCGTGAAACCACGCAGCCTTCAGCCAAGTCTCGACACAGACACACAGCAAATCTAGCTCTCTGTAATTGACAATCCTCTCAAAACAGGTTGACTCCGGGGCAAAATGTTATTACGTCTTAATGAACGTTGACGTGGCTCCCAAATCTAGTTTTGGAACAAATCTACCCTCAAAAATACCAATCTGAAGCCAGATGTGGCGATGCACACCTTTAGCCTCAGCACTGTAAAGGCTGAGGCAGCAAGATCAAGGCCATCTTAAGCTACAGAGCGAGAGGTAGGCAAGCTTGTACTACATAGTGAGACCTTGTTTCAAAAACAAAAAACAGGTCATTAATTAATGAGACAACGGTTTCAGTACCATATTTTCTAAACAGGCACATTATGCATACAGTTAAAGAAACCAAATGCTCAAACCCAGCCAACCGGGTGCTCACAAAATGCCTAATGTATACAAATGGGCCAATCATCAGGTTTAGAAAATCGCCTTCAAAGCCGAGAATGTAAACAACAAGTTTTCATCTTTTAAATCTGTCCCTGCTAAACATGGTGGCTCACACCTGTAAATCCAGCATTGTGGAGGCTGAGGCGGGAGGCTCAACAGCTCCAGACTAGTCAGGAGCTAAACGGCCAGAACCCCCACCTCCCACCCCCAACCACCCAGTCTGTCTCATTTCTGTTCCCTTGGAGAATGTATACAAATCTCAGCGTCTCAGTAAGATTTAACACTGGAAGTTCTTTTTAAAAGTAGTGCTGTACTTCCAAATAACGGTTCGGCAGTCTAACAAAGGCTGGGTGAGGGATACGAGGAGAGAGCTTCAACTAAAATCTCACACTAAGGGATCAAGAGGAGGCTCAAGGATTTTTAGAAATCGAAGAGCCCGGGTCTGATCAAATGCGCTTCATCGCTTTGTTCTCAGGCGCGCGGAGAGGAACCGCAGCCAGGGCTGCAGCGGGAAAGGCAGCAGAGTGAAACAATAGAGGATTAAGGCCGCCGCAGGTACTGGCTACACCAAATGCTCCCTGGGAACCGGGCTGAGGGGCCCAGACGAAAGAATGGACCGGGCCCTGGTAGTGGAGGAAGCATCTCGCCTTGCAGCTTCCAACCGCGCTCTGCACGCCTGCCAGCCCCGGGGCGCCCAGGGCGAGCCTCACCTGGGTGACAGCGGCGTCAGGGGATCCCGCGTCCTCCGCTGCAGAAGGCTGAGAAGAGGATGCAGACGTAGTGGACACCCTGGGCGAGTGGACGCCACGTCACCCAGGCGGTGGCTCAGGCCGGCCTCCTGCGCTCATTCCCCCTCCCCTGCCCTCCTCTCCGCCCCGCCCACCGCCGCCCGGTCCCGCCCACCGCCCCGCCCACCGCCGGCCCCAGGGATGCCGCGCTCGCCCGCTGCAATCGGAGAGCCCCAGGCTCCGGGATGCCGGGATGCTGCGGCGCTCAGTGTCCCCCCACCCCCACCCCCACCCCCACCCCCTTGCACTGGGCCCCATCCTGGCGAAGGACAAAAACTTCCCCGGCGACCAACTCTGCCCATGCGCCAGACGACCCTCCGCGGCCGACTACGCTCTCCAGAAGCCTCTGCGGCGGCTCCATCTTGGGTTGAGTTAGGAAGTTGGTCGCTGAGGGCCTCACTGATGAGCGCTGCGCGGGCCTGGTCTTTAAGCGGACTGTCGAGCTAGCAATGGGCACCCTAGGGAGGAAGGCAGAAGGCTGTCTGAGGTTGTAAGCGTAGGTGCTTGGAGCCAAGTGAGTTGGACATCCAAAGATGTCACCGGTTGCTAGCTTTTAAAACTATGTAAATGATAACAGGAAACCCTTGAGGAATTAACAGAAACTAATATATATATATATATATATATAAATTATATATATTATATTTAATTATATATAATTATATATATAGTAATATATATATATATTACTATATATCTGTGTATATGTGTGTGTGTGGTATATATAAACCAAAATAGCAGACACCAAGTGCCGTACATGTTAGCTCCCAACGATTTTAGAAGTTTTCTCCCACTGATACAGAATGTCATTATGTCACTAAGAGCAATACCATACTGAATATGTAAAACAACTTGTGTATGTCCCTGTCGATAACTTCAGTTTGTGTTAACTTTAGAAAAATGGAAATAATACATCTTTCATAAGAAAATTAATACACACAAAATGTATACATATATACACACATACATATATACATATACACAAACATACATATATACATATACACATACATACATATACACATACGTACATACACACACACACACACACACACACACACACACACATATATATATAAAACCAGATTTTTTAGGATCAAAAGCTGAGCTCTGGCAGCTGTAAGAAGCCAGGCTCACCCACTGGGCTTCAAAAAAGCCAACTTAAGAAACAATGGTACCATGGGAACAAACGGCCTGTAAGATTCAAGGCAAAGGTATTGCTGACACACAAACATAAGGAGATAAGAGAAACTTTATTTTGGAACTGAATATAGTGACCATAGTTCTGGAACACAAATTTAGGTTCCTCCAAATTTATATTCCAACATGGAGGCTGCATCATGGAGATATTTTATTTTATGTATATGGGTGTTTTGTCTGCATGTATGTCTGTGCACCGCTTGTGTGCCATGAATGATGAGGCCAGAAAGGGGCATCTGATCCCCTGGAACTAGAGTTGGGATCAGTTTTGAGCCAAAACGTGGCACTGGGACCTGAACCCTGGACCTCTGGAAGAGCACCCAGTGCTCTTAACCTCTGATCCATCCCTCTAAAAGAAGTCACAAGTCAGGACACCTAAATACATTAATGGCAACATTAGATCGGTAGGTTAATTAATTAAAAATGTCAAGGCCAACTAAATGAGTACTCTTGAGCTAAAACGTCTCAATGGGATAAGCTGGAATTTTAGCCCTCAGTTCCAACCCCCATGCTAAGCAGTAAATAGCCTGACGCAGGTCCACGTGGCTGTTAAAAGCCCCCTTGGTGAAGACATCGTACACCAGATCATATTCCAAACAACCTCAGAAGGCCTCAAGTCGAAAGGAGTCCTTGGGCCCACTGTTTCCAGAGGAGACTCCCTGACCAAATTGGGTTCTCCAAGCCATCTACCTGCTATTACTGTTTTCAAGCATAGCTTTTCTGATCTATTTGAAGCGGATCCACGCTTCCCCAGATACTATTCTATTTAGAAGTATAAAAGAACTAGGCCAAGGCGATGGCTCAGATATAAAGTGACTGCTGCAAAAACACAAGGACCTAAGTGTCAAGCACCCATGTGAAAAGCCAGACACCATACATGACTATAACCTCAGGGCTTGTTTGGGATGTTCTATTGCTGTGACAAAATGCCACAGCCAAAAGCACCAGGGGGAGGAAAGGGTTTATATCACCTTACAGTTCATAGTCCTTCATAAAGGGAAGTCAGGGCAGGAACCTAGAGGCAGGAACTGAAGCAGAGGTCATGGAAGAACGCTGTTTACTGAGAAGGGGCTGAGAAATACATATTTTTTTAGTGTTCAACATTCTCAGCATTCAGGGAAATGCAAATTTAAAATACTTGGAATTTCATCTCGTAGTCAGAATGGCTAAGACAGGAAAAAAAAGATCAATGCTGGCATGTATACAGGGGAAAGGAGGCACTTATAATCACTGTTGCTAGAAGTATAAACTACTAATAACCATTATAGAAATATCAGTAAGTGTGGAGGTTTCTCAAAAAGCTGGAATATATGACCTAGATATACCATTTGGACATACACCCAAAGGCTTCTGTGTCTTACTACAGAGACAACTGCTCATCCTTTTTAATTTCTGCTCCATTAACAATAGCCAGGAAGTGGTAAAAACCCAGATGTCCATCAATAGATGATGAAAATTGGTCTATTTACAGAACAAAATGTTAGTCAGCTGTTAAAATGCAGTTGTGAAACCTGCAGGTTAAAGGGTGAAGCCAGAAACAATCATTTTGGGTAAGGCAACTCAGACACCGAAAGACAAAAAGCCCGTGTTTTTTCTTATTGGTGATTGTTAGCTCTGAATCTTCTGATGTGTGTGTATCATTTGAAATACAGAGGCTAAGAATTTAGTAAGGGGCCATTTATGGGGAGGGGTCTTTAAGGAATAAAGATAGAACAGTGTCAGAAAGGGGAATAGTAGAAAAGCAAGTGCTAAGTTGGAGGGGGAGTAGAACAGGTAGATGCTGCAACATGAGGAGGGGGACTAACACTAAGGCTTTTGAAAATGCCCACTACTGTAGGCGCTTCTTAAAACGCTAGCAAATAATCTCTCTAGGACAAGAAAGGGTTGGGTTATAAGGGCTCTCCTCTTTTTGAGCTGATGGCCAATGAGTCACATAGACCCTCAACCATTACAGCCTACTGCCAATATTCTTTTGCCTGTCCTCCAGAACTTGACAGTAAGACCCTGTTGCTGAAGACACCACATATTTGAAGCCCTGAAATTGAAGAAATCAAGTAGGTATTCATCTGCAAGCTACATCCCTAATGACTGTCTCTCAAGGTGCCAGAAACTGCTATGTATGCCAGCAGAGAAAAGTAATGACAATGACTGGCCTGGCAGGATAGGCTCACTGCAATACTGGTACAGATGCTATTTGAGTAACCAATCGCTTTCTGCTTAGATCTAAGGACCACCTCACGAGATGGAACCATACCTGGACTATTAAAGGGGCCAAGGACCTGTGCCAGACAGGTGATAGGTCTACAGGAAAACCTTCCCCAGGGAAGCTTCTTTTTGTGGTAGATGGCAATTAACACAGAACCCCTCAAACTGGTCAATGTGATGTAATCCTGGATTGTGAAGTTCTAAAGCTAAGTGGGGCAGTGATCTTCAGAGGGTCAGAGACTGTAAGAGACAGAGATGGTGGATAGCACCAAGGAAAGTGTTTTTCTAACAATATAGGGCAACTGTGTCAGCATGCTACAAGACCTTTGCAAGCTCAAGCTAGACAAAAATCCCAGCATAGAGAGAAGGTGGGCACAAAATTCTATTTTGAGCTTTCTGACTACAAAAAGGACACATTGAAATAACTGTTAACCTTAACGGAATGTGGCACAGAAATTATATTGAACTTCCTGATTATTCTGCTACAGGCACATAATGACAGCTCTTTATTTTTTGGAGGTGTGTATTTAGAGATAAATATGTGTCATGTCTACAATTCACAAGGGGAAAATGCTCTTCTTATATCTCTTTCTTTGCATTTATTTTGAAAGAGGAAGATAAGAGAAAGAAGGATTAAAAAGAAATGTTTGCATTTAGAGAGAATGGTAATAACCAAGATTTTTTTTTGTATAATTCTTAAAAATTTTTCAATAGTGGTCCAATTATAAAAATAAAACATTTATGAGCTCTTGAACACATGTACATAGCAAGAGAACATTTACAAGCTCCTGAACACATGTACATAGGAACAATACAATAGGGTGATATATATATATATATATAAAAACAAAGAGGTCATGAATTTGAGAGGGAGTTGGGAGGGACATAGGAGTTGAAAGGAAAAAAGAAAAGGATGGAAATGATGTAAATACAGCACTCATATATGATATTCTTAAAAATTTAATTTATTAAATTATAAAAATAATTGTTATCAACATATCTCATTAAATAAAATGAAGAAGCATTAATCCACACAAACACTAGCAAATAAATGTTTTGTAAGTTTGATAAGAAACATATTTACAGTCACAAATTACCTACAAAACAGTTATTACAAAATGAAAAGTAAATACATAAAAGAAAACACAGCAGGAAATTGCTCTGGCAATCAATATCAACATCATAATAGAGAAAATCTAATTATAGATCACATAATAGAGAAATGAGAAAACTTATTTCTGTAATACTCTTGCCAAAAAGATGCATGATTTAATCACAGTGAAAGAGAAAATTCAATTTCAAGGACATGCCACATGAATTCTTCCTTGAGGATTTAAGGTCATGAAAGTCCAGGAAGACTGAGCAATGTTCCAGACTGAAGGAGTCTAAGAAATGCAAGTAACTGGAACCCATCAGTCTGAATGGGATCAGTTTTCGTTAAAGGACATGGTAGGTAAGGAGCCAAACTGGAAAGGAAGCTGAAGATTGCCAGGATCTATTAGTGTTAGACTTCTGATGACAAGGTAACACTACGGTCACCTATGGTGCTAATTACAAAAAATACTAAAATAGGCTAGGCAG